CCCCTCCCCCAACCCCAGGAACATGCACACAGCCAGGAGGCAGCTGTCTACAAGCCAGGAAAGAGGCCACCACCAGACACCAAATCTGCCGGTAGACAGCCTCCAGACGGTGAGAGAGAAATGTCTGTTGTCTGAGCCACCCAGTTATGGTGTTCTGCTGTGGCAGCTCGAGAACAAGACAATAAAAATGAAAACTTCAGTAATCTTAGTGAGACTTTTTTTTAATGAAATTGCTTTTAAGGAAATGACATTATTTTTATAATTCTACTCAAATGGCAGCACCATGCTCACTTGTGGTACCAAATACCCAAGACATCCACCTAGGGGAAAATAAACCCAGCAACAGGGAAGTGGGAAGACGATACTTTCAGCACATACAGCGCCCACAAGGCAACTACAGCGCACCCAAGCCCCTCCTGAGCCCAGGAAGGCGTCCTCCTACTACCAGAGTCACCTGCTAAGGTGAACAATGGCGGAACCCACTCCGCCTAACCCGTCTGTGACTCTAGGGGCTGAAGCAATCAGCCAGCTATCTCATCATCACTCACCAACCTCTCACGCCATAGTCACGCTGAAAGCTACAACAATTGAGGTACATCCTACACAGCAGCCAAATTCCTAGAAAGTGGCACAGAAACAGAATTTCTAATTCTAATTGTTTATACCCACTGGAGAAGCTGGCCAAGGGACTTCAGTCCCCAGCACACTTTACAGAGCCTGAGCTTCACACGGATCCGCCTTGTTTAACCTACAATGAACCTCTAATATCCATACATGTAACTAACTCAACTTCCCACCAAGTTAGACTACATTACTTCTCAGCTAACTGCGCCTCTCAAACTGCATTTCAACTTCCAACTTGAATTTGTTTCTTCCCTCTTCTCCTAACGTTTCTCCTAGAACCGTGCTGACTCTTCCTCCCCCTAAGGAAGCTTCTGTATAATGCCAACCCCTCCCCTCTCCCCTAGGGCCCCTTCTGAGCAGCGGGATTATAACGCAAACACCAGGGGCTCTCCAGTGCCCTAAGCTACACTCTGGAAAGTAATAATTTACTCCAAAAGCTTAGAGGCTACAACTCAACAGGGTTCAGCTTTGGAATATGAGGCTTAGAGCTGAAACTCTATTAACTAAGTAGCCTTGGGAAATTAACCCCAGCAAATGACTTTATTCTGTAAAAAGGGGTTAATCCTTTGATACCCACAGGGATTGGGGAATTCTGTCAGTACATTCTCCCCAGAATTTAATGATTTTTTTAATCCTTTAATATTTAACAGGCACTGAGTACTTACCAAGCACCCAAACCTGTTAGGTGTTATGAAGATAAACACAAAGCTCCTGTCTCTCTTTTTCTTTTATTTTTATTTATTCGAAAGAGAAAAGAGATTTTCCAACTTCGGTTTACTCTCCCAAACCCCTGCAACAGCCCAGGCTGGGCCAGACCAAAGCCAGGAGCCCGGAAATCCATCTGGGTCTCCCACAAGGCCCCAAGGACTTGAGCTACCACCTGCTACCTCCCAGGAAGCGTTAGCAAGAAGCTGTACAAAAAAGCATGGAGTAGGGGCCGGTGCTGTGGCACAGCAGGTAAAGCCACCGCCTGCAGTGCCAGCATCCCACATGGGTGCCAGTCCGAGTCCCAGCTGCTCTACTTCCAATCCAGCTCTCTGCTGTGGCCTGGGAAAGCAGTGGAAGATGGCCCAAGTCCTGGCTCCCAGCTTCAGATCAGCTCAGCTCTAGACGTTGCGGCCAACTGGGGAGTGAAACAGCAGATGGAAGACCTCTCTCTCTCTCTCTCTTAAAAAAAAAAAAAAAAAAAAAAGCATGGAGTAGCCAGGACTAGAACCAGGTACTCTGATATGGAATGGAGGCATCCTAAGCGGCACCACAACACCCACCCCGAAGTTCCCATGTTTTAGGAGCTTATAATCTTACTAGGGAAAGAAAGATAATAAAACAAGGAATAACACAAGATCATGCACAGATAAGCACAGCATACCAGGAGACAAGTGCAGAGTCTGACTGCTACTAATTAAGTGGGCAGGAGAAGCCTCACAGGAGCTATGACCTCAGAAAAACTCCACTTGTATTAAGATATAAGAAAAAAACGAGTGCTTTAAGACAAATCCACATACCAAAGACTGGCTACACTAAGATTTTTCAAAGCGTGTATTTGCATAGGGCCCACAAACGTTTCTAAAGGGCTGATACCATCTGCGACCACTCCAGCTGCACTCCTGTCTCCAATGTGCCAGGCACGCTTCCTTCTCAATGCCTCCGCACCCACGGGGCCTGGCCTCACCCCTTCCCTCAAACACCTGAAAGGCTCAATGCCTGGCTTCACCCCAAGGGCACCTACCAGAGAGGCCTTCCGGACCTCTTCATTCTCCATCTCCCTGCTTCCTTGTGCTTCTTAGCCTTACCATCTTCTAGTAAATAATAGGTGCCCACCTGCTTATGAAATGTCTCTTCCCATTAGAATATCAGTTGCATGAGACCAAGGTCTGGCTTTGGTTCACTACTATATCTCCTAGGGTTAAAATGCTACCAGGTAGGGGCCGGCACTGTGGCACGGCGGGTAAAGCCGCCACCAGCGATGCTGATATCCCACATGGGCCCGGGGTTTGAGTCCCGGCTGCTGCCCAATCCAGCTCCCTTCTAATGTGCCTGAGAAAGCAGCGGAAGATGGCCCAAGACTTCGGGCCCCTGCCACTCATGTAGGAGACCCAAAAGAAACTCCCGGCTTCTGTCTTCAGTCTAGCCCAGCTCCCACTGTTGCAGCCATTTGGGAAGTGAAACAGCGGATGGAAGATTTTCTCTCTCTGCTTCTCCCTCCAAGTCTGCCTTTCAAATAAATACATAAATCTCAAAAAAAAAAAAAAAAAAAAAAAAAAGAAACCTGACAGGCATGCAACAGCTGTTCAATAAAGATTAGTTACAAGAGTAAAGGAACACTGAATTTATAGACACACACACACACAGTTTCTTTCACCAATTTGTCTCCACACCTTAACTGTGCGTACCTTAAGGACAGGGAATCTGACTTACATGTTTCCAGAAATCACCTTGTACAAATACTTTATTGCACAAGCAGGGAAACAAAAGCCCCAAAATAAGAGGTTTCCCTAAACCCATACAGCAGGCTGGCAGAATCAATGACCGGAACACCGGCGTGCCACGGTGTGCCAGACCTCCAACCTGCCAATGTATAAAGTGAGAAGAGTATTCTCCGTGCCAGTTCCAGGTTGCCCATCTGCACCCACACTCATCCACGCCTTCCTCTGCACACCCCCACCCCGCGAAGTCCCCAGACGCTGCTCTATACCCAAATACCACTGCTCTTGGTTTGAAGGCAACAAGCAAATAATGGACCCCAGGTCCAACCGTGCCAACTACGACTGAACACACACACACACACAGAGCACAGGCACACACTAACAGCACCTCGCCCAGTCTTCCCTCCTTCCATCCAGTGGTAACCCACCCGCACCTGAAGTCTCCTGGTATGCCTCTCTATTTTCCATGGCCATGAGTTTTTACTCCTCCTTGCCAGAGTTCTAATGGAGAATGGAAGCAGGCAAAGAAAAGAATTCAAAAATAAACAGCAAGAGGGTCACGTTACCCAAACCAACATTGGTAACAGGACAGACTCCACAACGGACAGGGAGAGGTGCAGGGCACGCACACCGGGCTTAAGCAGAGCTCGGGCTCCAACACAGGAAGTCAGGCAGAGCCTCGCCGAGCAGGGAGGGAGCACAGGAAGTCTTCTAGCACAGCAGAGATTTCCAAGAGTTGGTGGAATGGAGACAGCCCAGGAACAGGAATCAGAAGGCCACACTGCTGGTTCTAGACTCCCGGCCGCTACTGGGCGAGAGGCAGGCAGATGGTCGTCCTGGGACTGCGACTCCCCCTCTATAAAACGAGGTAGTTAAAAACATGCAGGGGCTTCAATACCCACCAAAAAAAAAAAACCACTGATTCTCCTCCAGCAAAAAGTGCATATCAACTATTCTGCTTAAAAATCTTCCAAGTCTATCCAGGTTAACAGCCCCTGGAAAAGATGTCACCTCTGGTCCCTCTCCTCCTAACGTTCTATGATTCCAAGAGAATCAGATGTCAAAATAACGGGTGGCAGGCCAGTCCCACTCACCTGTTCATAGCAAGCATGCCCGAACAGAGACCAAATCCTAAAACCTACCAAACTCAGCTGGCGCCATCCACACCTCTCCCACTCACGACTCAAATCGGCCCGCTTATCCTTGGGTCCACAAGCCAGAATCCAGGCTTCTAAGAAGCCCATAAATTCCCTTTGATACCCCAGGACAATGAAGAGAGAGCTATACGGTGCCCTAACCATGTTAAGTACAGGAGAGACCTGTCCCGTGTCTCTCTTCAAACTCAACCGCACGAGCCGCAAAGTGAAGAGGCTGAGCACCCCAGTGCCCACGCCACCCCGCGGTCTCCCCGCGCCTCCCACTCACTGGGGAACTGATTGAACCCACAACCCAAGCCACATCCCCTTTGGGCTCTCTCGAGGAGTTTCTTCGCTTTTCGCTTCTCTCGTCCACACGCCGCTCCCCTACCCCAGCCCAGGGTGTGCGAGGGCCGCCAAAAAGGCACTCCTCCTCCTCGAGAGGCTCCCACCACGGCCCCCTCGCCCCCCACTCAGCCCCGCGGCTCTCCGGGCCAACCCCACACCCAGGACTTCCCAGCTTCCACTCCACCCTCGGAAGCCAAGGCAGGGTTTGAAGACGTGGACTCCAACCCGCCCAGGGTCGACTCCCCCCAAAAGCCTCATCGACGCAGGACCCTCCCGAGCACCCCGGGATCCTGCCGTACCCGAGCTCGCCCCAGCTTCCAAGAAGGCCCCGGCCCGCCCCTGCCCACCTCCCCCCGGGACCCCGCGGAGCCCTCCCCCTCTCCAAGCCCCGGAGCCCGGGCCGCCCCCCCCGCCAGGCACGTTCCGCACCCCCGCGATAACGGGGCGCCCCGAGCCGCGCGGTCACCTGCATCCCGCCGCCGCCGTCGGCCGCCGCCTCCTCGGTGCGCGGCCGCTTGCTCAGGCCGGGTTCGGCTCCGTCTCCTCCCGCTCCGGGCACCGGCAGCTCCAGCTCCGACTCCCGCTTCATGCCCCGGGCAGTGGCGCCGGGCCCGAGCTGAGACGGCTGCTGCGGCTGGGCGCCTTCCGCCATCCGCCCGCGCCCCCCTCGCCTCCGGGAGCCGGGCGACCTGCGACAGGCCACCTCCCCCTGGGCCTCGGCCCCGACTGTCGCGACAGGCGGGTGCGCGCCTGCCCCCGCCCCCCGCGTGCGTGCGTGCGTGCGCGCGCGCGGGCCCGGCGCCCCTCCGCGGCTGGCTCGCGCCCGCCGCTCCTCGGGGTCGTCGGCGTGGGGCCGCCGGCGGCTCGCGACGGGCCCTCGCTCGCGCCCCGGCACGCACACGCGACGCCCGGCCGGCCCGCCGCGCCGCGCCGCCTCTGGCGCCCCCGGAGCTCGGCCGCTGGCCCGCGCTCGGCCGCTCGCACTCTCCCTCACCGCACGCCGGCCGAGGGAGGAAGGGGGCGGTCCGGCTCCCGAGGCGTGGGGAGGGCTGTTTATTTGGGGGGGGGAGAGGAGGGGCGCGAGGCTGGGACGAGCTGACTGGCCGGGATCCTCCGACCCGCCACTGTGGCAGCGCCGGGAAGGCGGGGAGAGAGAAAGAGGGAAGGAGGGACCGGGATGGACGACTCCCGCCCGCGCGGGAGGCTGAGGCGAGGGGGCGGCGGCGGCGGCGGCGGCGGCGGCGAGCCCGCCGAAGGGGCGTGGCCAGCGCCCCTCGGCAATCTCCGCGGCCTCCGCGCCCGCCGCCCGAGGGAGGCCGGGAAGAGCTCGGGGACACTCGGGAATCTCCGGCCCCGGCGCGGGATCGGCCTGGAGGCGCGGCGCGGCGGGGGCGGGGCCTGCCGCCTCTGGGGGCGGGGCGTCGGCCTGGGGCAGGCCTGAGGGCTGGGAAGCAGCTCCGGTTTGCTGGACTAGTTGTTCGGAGTTGTGTCCTCGGTTCGCTTGTCCAGCCGCCTTCTTTCTGCTTAGGGGTGGGGCCTCCCATAGAAGAATGGGATCTCGAGTCTAGGGTCGGAGCCGCTCCTGCGTGGCGCTCTGCAATTCTGAGAGCTTCCGCTCTAATCGTAATTATTATATCGCTGGTGATCTTAATTATCTCCGATGCGTGTAAGAGCTCTAAGGTTTGCATAGTGCGTGCACACCCGTTTTGAGGCTGGTGGGTAGATGGAGACCGTGGTCTCCAAGGTGGCAGATCCAGATCGCAGGCCGCCGGGTCATATTCGCGATTCACTTTCTTAGCACCTTGCGGCATGAATGGCACTTCATTGCTTATCAACTTTGTGTGGCTGGAGATGTGTACAATGAGTTTTCTCTCTCACCCCATGATGTGCCCTGTAGATGAAGTCCCAGGAATAAAATGATGTGTGTATGACCTAGATGCTAGCCTTGGACTTGCTATCTAGTTTACACAAGTTACTTCATCCCTTTGAACCTCAGCTCGATCATTTGTAAAATTCGGCAATTTTTATGATTGATTGATTGATTGATTTGAAAGGCACAGTGACAGAGAGAGCTTCCCTCCACTGGTTCACTCCCCCAAGTGGCCACAGTAGCCAGGGCTGGGCCAGGACAAAGCCAGGAGACCTGGGTCTCCCACATGGATAGCAGGGGTCCAAATACTTGGGCCACCATCTGCTGCTTTCCCAGCACATTAATAGGGAGCTCAGAAGCAGAGCAGCAGGGACTCAAACCAAATATGGGATGCTGGCGTCACTAGCAGCCTAACCAGCCGTGCCACAATGCCAGTCCCAGGGAGATGGTTTCTTTTGTTTTTAAGATTTTATTTATTTGAGAGGCAGAGTTACAGAGAGGGAGAGAGAGAGAGGGCTTCCATCCGCTTGTTCATTTCCCAAACAGCCACAATGGCCGGAGCTGGACCAAACCCAGGAGTTTCATCTAGGTCTCCCACGCAGGTGCAGGGGCTCAAGTACCCAGGCCAACCTCTGCGGCTTTCCCAGGCCGTAAGCAGAGAGCTGGATCAGAAGTGGAGCAGCCAGGATTCGAACCGGAGCTCACATGGGGTGCCGGTGCTGCAGGGGCCCAGCCTACTTTGCCACAGCACCAACCCCAAGATGGTTTTTATCAGTGGTTCTCAAAAGAGCTATTTTTGCCTTTCCAAACAGGTTATTTCTGCCTCACATGTGTTTGTCCATCTCTGAAGAAAATTTTGATCATTACAACTGGAGAACTGGCATCTAATGGGTAGAGACCAGGAATGTTACCAATACCCTACCTTCCACAGGAAAGTCACCATGTGAAAGTCACGCGGGGGGGCACTCCACTCGGGAGGCCCACATCCCGAATCAGAGTGCTTGGTTTGAGTCCTGGCTCCTCCTTACTTCTGATGCAACTTCTTGCTAATACCCTTGGGAGGCAGCAAGTAACGCCCCAAATTGCTTGGGTTCCTGCCACCCACATGGGAAACCCTGATGGAGATCCAGCTTCCTGACCCTGGCCTGGCCCAGCCTGGCTGTTACAGGTATTTGGAAAGTGAATCCATGGATGGGAGGTCAATCTCTATCTCTCCCTCTCTCTCAAATAAATAAATCTTTAAAAAGAAAGTGTTATCTAGCCCAAAATGTCAGTAGTGCAGATGCTGAGAAACGCTAGGTCAGGTGATTTCTAAGGTCATTTGCAACCACTCTGTGATTTGACCTTTGAACTTGGGTCTAACTTGGCTACACTGGCAGTCAGTAGAACACATTCCTGCTTTTAGCATCAGGCCAACCCAGGCCTTAGCATCCGCCCAACGCTGGGCCAGCAGGAGCCAGACATTGCTGTATAGAAGGTATTTAGGGCCTGTGAGAGAACACTGGAAGACTTGCCTGGAAGCTGTGTGTGGGTAAGGAGCAGTGTTTGGTGGCTCAGACTGTGTTATAAATTAATAACAATAGCCAGCTTTCAGCTGGGCCACTTACAAGTCACGATGCCTTCTGCAAGCTACTTACTCTCTCTCTGCCTCCGTTTCTTCACCTGAAAGTTAGGATAATTGAAGCACCTTCCTGAAAGAGTTTTTTTGTTTTTTTGTTTTTTTTTTTTTTTTTTTTTTGACAGGCAGAGTGGACAGTGAGAGAGAGACAGAGAGAGAAAGGTCTTCCTTTGCCGCTGGTTCACCCTCCAATGGCCGCCGCTGCAGCCGGCGCACCGCGCTGATCCTGGCAGGAGCCAGGAGCCAGGTGCTTTTCCTGGTCTCCCATGGGGTGCAGGGCCCAAGCACCTGGGCCATCCTCCACTGCACTCCCTGGCCATAGCAGAGAGCTGGCCTGGAAGAGGGGCAACCGGGACAGAATCCGGCACCCCAACCGGGACTAGAACCCGGTGTGCCGGCGCCGCAAGGTGGAGGATTAGCCTATTGAGCCACGGCGCCGGCTCCCTGAAAGAGTTATTGTAGGGATTACATGAGTTGTCTCCTTCTAAGAACACCAGTCAGAATGGCCTATGTGAGCACCCAGTGTTGGCTACCGTGAGTATCACCATTGTCAGTGACAAAACGCTCATTGTGGAGATCAAAAATGTCCTCATCACTATACCTGGGTTTGTTTTTTTTTTTTAATTTGATAGATAGAGTTAGACAGCAAGAGAGAGAGACAGAGAGAAAGGTCTTCCTTCCATTGGTTCACCCCCAAATGGCCGCCACAGCCGGCACTGTACCGATCAGGAGCCAGGTACTTCTCCTGGTCTCCCATGGGGTGCAGGGCCCAAGCACTTAGGCCATCCTCCACTGCCTTCCTGGGCCACAGCAGAGAGCTGGAATGGAAGAGAAGCAGCCAGGACTAGAACCCGGCGCCCATTTGGGATGCCAGTGCCGCAGGCGGAGGATTAGCCAAGTGAGCCACAGCACCAGGGTCCCATTTTTTTTTTTTTTTTTAAGATTTATTTATTTGAGAGAAAGAATTACAGAGAGAAGGAGAGACAGAGAGAGGCCTTCCATCTGCTGGTTCATTCCCCAAATAGCCAAAACTCTGACCGTTCTGAAGTCAGGAGCCAGGAGCTTCTTCCAAGTCTCCCATGTGGGTGCAGGGGCCCAAGGACTTGGGATATCTCTCACTGCTTTTCCAGGCCATAGCAGAGAGCTGGATCGGAAGTGGAGCAGACGGGGCTCGAACTGGCCCCCATAAGGAATCCTGGTGATGCAGGTGGAGACTTAACCTACTACACCACATTGCCGGCCCCCGTATCTGTTTTTTTGTTTTGTTTTGTTTTGTTTTTTGTTTTTTTTGCTATAGGGCTGCTAGTGATTCAGATGTGGAAGACAAAGCTCCCCCAAGTCATTGCCTGGTGCAGTCCCAGTGTTGGGCGAATTCTTTCTTTTCATTAAGCCTTACGTTCCTCATTTCTAAAATGGAAATAATAATAGTCGCAATGTTATCCTAAGGATGCGATGAGAAAAAATAGAGCACTTAGCAGAGTGCCTCATGCATAGTAACTGCTTAATAAGTATAATTATTTATCATCTAATTTGTTTAGCAATAATAAGCTACTGGCCAGTGGCCAGAAGGGCTGGAAAGAGCTTTCTCATTGCTGTTTGTACCAGCAAGGTAAAAGTCCACAGGCCTGCAAGCTTGTTGTTGAACAGCACTTAAATTGGCAAGACCCTGCAGCAGATGGAGCCTGATCCTGCCCACCCAAGCACTATGGCTTTGAAGGAAAATCAAGTGGTTTTCCGGTGGCTTAACGGATAACAGTGGTTTTTCTTTTCTTTTCTTTTCTTTTTTTTAAGATTTTATTTATTTATTTATTTATTTGAGAGGTAGAGTTACAGAGAGAGGGAGAGAGGTCTTCCATCTGCTTCACTCAAATGGCTGCAATGGCCAGAGCTGGGCTGATCTGAAGCCAGGAACCAAGAGCCAAGAGCTTCTTCCAGGTCTCCCATGAAGGTACAGGGGCCCAAGCACTTGAGCCATTTTTACCGCTTTCCCAGGTCATAGCAGAGAGCTGGATCAGAAAAGGAGCAGCCGGGACACGAACTGAGGCCCATACGGGAGGCTGGCGCTGCAGGCAGAGTCTTAGCCTACTACGCCACAGAGTTGCCCCAGCAACGGTTTTTCTGTTTAAACTTAAGTACATCAGCTGGTGGATTTCTGAAAATTTTACTTAGTGAACTGGTATCTTAAGAATTCTCCCTAGGCGCCAGTGCTGTGGCATAGCGGGTAAAAGCCATCACCTGCAGTGCTGGCATCCCATATGGGCACCGATTGGAGTCCCCGCTGCTCCACTTCCAATCCAGCTCTCTGAGAAAGCAGCAGAATATGGCCCAAGTCCTTTGTCCCCTGGACCCACATGGGAGACCTACAAGAAGCTCCTGGATCCTGGCTTCGGATCGGCCCAGCTCCAGCTGTTGCAGCCATTTGGGGAGTGAACCAGCCAATGGAAGATTGTCTCTCTGCCACTGCCTCTCTCTAACTCTGCCTTTCAAATAAAATTAATACATCTTAAACAACAACAACAACAAAGAATTCTTCCCTCTCTACCTACCTTGTCAAAATACTGAAATCTAAATGACTTTAGGTCCTTCCTTGGCTGCCCCATGACCCGGAAAGAAATGAGATTTGG